ATGGAAATTACAGGCCTCTCTCATCTTTTTAAGTGGGAGAACTTGCACAATTGGTGGCTGACTAAATACTTTTTTGCCCCACTGTATATGGTGGCTGACCTGGGTTGGCCCAAACGGAGTTGGTCCTCTCTCAGAGTTGCTACAATATGTCCTTTCCTGCTGGAAGACTGGCATATTCCAATTGCCAACGTTCCTGCTGCAGCAATTCTAGCCCACACAATCTCCAGAATGGTGGACCAGTGACTGGACCTCCTCTGCTTCCATGCTAGGATCTGCAGGTGAGTCATGGGAAGCTGTCCAACCCAAGGATCTGTCTCCTCACTATAGGCTGGCTACTGTCTCCTTCTTGGTGCCCCTCTGTGGTTTGTCACACCATTCTAGCCCCACGTGGATTTCCTGCTCCTGATTGGAGTGTAGTCCAGTGCCACACCTGCTTCAACATTTGCCCACCCATTCTAAAAAACCTCACCACTCATTGACCAAAGAAACAACATACACACACCACCTCTTAGAATGCCTACCAGTAGCAATCACTTTTCTCCAATCACCTTGAAAAAAGAAAATCCCAAAACATCAAGTTCCCAGGTTGGAGAAGGCCAATCCAGAACATTTATATTGTGAACTGCCCAGACTCAGTCTGGAGTCAGGCTCATATATATTGAATTAAATAAATTAATAAAACATTGCTTATGATAAGAGACAATGAAAGACAGTCTGAACCTGTGGTGATCACTCCAAGTAGAATTAAGGGTACTGTTGACAGAGGATCAGTAGCTGAATGTGCACAAGTCATGTTTTTTCTTGTGGTTTCATTTGTAGGCTGCTGACTAAGAGCCACTGACTAAGACAACAGGACTTAAAATGGAGGCCCTTCCTTCAGTGGCATCTTACACTGCAGGGGATGATCGCTCAGGCATATTTTAGAACATCACAGACACTTAATTGAACGAGGACTGCGCACGTCTTTTGAGATTTTGCCAATCGTGATGTGATTCTATTAACTTTAGCTAGGTTAGGATTCAAATTCACCAGTCTTTTCTTAGGATATATTCCAAGAGGGGAAAAAAAGGAGAAATATTCCATCTATCTTCCCAATACTATTTCATCTCCAAGCCTGCCTCCATCAAAGATGTATGATTCTGTCTCCCACTTTTAATTCAGGAACATACTTATTGCTTAAAAACTTCATCTGCAGGCTTCAGTATGCCCATGTAACACCTCTGCTTTGTGAGCTGCACTGGTTGCGAGTTTGCTTCCAGGTGCGAATGAAGATGCTTGTTGCTACCTATAAAGCCCTACCTGACAAAGGGTCTGGTTACTTGAGGGACTGCCTGTCTCCCATAGTATCTGCCCAACCAGTTCAATCTGGCAGAGTTGGCACACTCTGGGTTCCATCAATTATACATTGCCACCTATCAGGACTCCAGAAGCATGCCTTCTCTGTAGCAGCGCTTGCTGTCTGGAATAAGGCTCCACCCAAAATTTGAATGGCTCCCACCCTGCTGGTGTTTCAAAGGGCCTTAAACACCTGGCTCTTCATCCAGGCCTTTGGAGAGGACAACTGATGCCCCTTTCTTCCTTTCTGTTGCCCTCTGGGTTTATTTTCTTTGCCATTGTTGTTCATTTGTCTTGTGCTGTTTTCATGGGGGGTTTTTTTGTATTGTTCTCTGTTTTTTAAATGTTTTAATAATTGTAAACCACCCAGAGTCACTGGGAGTCAAGCGGCATGTAAAATTACCATCATCATCATCATCATCATCATCATCATCATCATCATCATCATCATTATTATCATCGTCATCAGCTTCAACTTCAACAAGGCTTACTTCCAAGTAAAAGTTAATAGGATTTCATCGAAGTGATGAAGATGCAGATCACCTATCTAATGGAGACATAAGAACATATTTCCACTGCTTTTAGCTCCGTAAATATGGAGCTGTCCTACACAAAGGCATACCATCTTGGAGGTAGGTGACGTAGGCAATGCTGATGCCACCAATCTCGGAGTCACTGAAACGTAGCAGAAAAGTCCCAGCTGGTGCATTGCTCAGGCAACTGAAAACATATTGCTTGCTGACAAAGCCCATTATCAGTCTGCATGAACAAAATAGGGAGACAGAGGGAAAAACAAAGGAGAAAACCAATAATCAACACTGCAGGGCTTACAGAATTGTAGTAATGATTGAAAGGAAAAAGTGCACCCCCATGATTGTGAAATTGGAAAAAATAGCTGAACTTTCTTATTCTGTGACTATCCGTGTGGGCCAGTATTAAGATTCAAATGACATGGAAAATAAATATGCTTTCTTATACTGAAAAAAATTGGGAGGAAAACAAGCTATGTTTTCAGACCTTCACTCCCAATCCTGTTTCCTAAAACTATTTATTTTATTTATACAGGCACTCCCCAGGTTAAGAATGTCCAACTTATGGACAACTCACACTTACAAACAGGCTGCCTACTACTAAAAATGGCAGACAGTATTCTCCTTCCTTGAGCCAATGAACCGCTGAAGCCATGCAATGTTTTCAAGAACCGCTGAAGCCATGCGTTTTTAATATACACCCTGTTTTCAGTGGTTCATGAAAACATTGTGCGGTATCATCCTTACCAGGTAGACCAGACAGGAAACATGACCAGATAAGTTAATTTTACTTTATCGTAAAGCTACATTAACAGAATCCTGCAGGTCTGAAAATACAATTCTCCTGCCGTCACCTTTAGAACCCAATAACTTAGGGAGGGCCCCTTCTGAGCCTCTTGCTCCACCCACTATGCAGCTGCAGGCTATGTTCTCTCTTATCTGACCATTCTCTAGGTAGCATCTCTTCATCCCATCTCCCATGGTCATTCTCACATACCTTTACATGTGGTTTCAGTGGTTCATTGGCTCAAGGAAGAACACCGTCTGCCATTTTTAGTAACAAGCAGCCCATTCATAAGTACGAGTTCCAACTTACATATACATTCAAGTTAAAGTTAGACTTAGGAAAGATCTTGTTCTTAACACAGGGACTGCCTGTATCCCTCTTAACCGTAAAAGGTTAGGCTGAGAGATGGTGACTGACCCAAAGTCTCCCAGCTGGTTTCCGTGCCTAAGGTCTGATCAGAATTCAGAGTCTCCTGGTTTCTAGTCCAGCACCTTAACCACTATGTTATCTAATGCATCCTGGTTTGATCCATTCATTTCCTTACCTGTCAGACCAGTAGTTCTTCAGGTATTTCTTGGTGAGGTCAAGAATGCCTTCAAACCACTGCCAAAATGTAAATCCTCTACCAGGAAGCATCTCCTATAAGTTGCAAGGTGAGTATGAGATGCAGATGATAGTGACCTTATAAGCCCACCAAGCTATCATATCACCCTTCTAACAAAAGCCATTGAGTGACCTTATTGAACTGGGACCAAGACACATGACATCTCTGGAATTCCTCTAGGCTGGTGAGGTTGTCACCAAAGATCTTCTGGGCCAAGAAGAAATAATGCTCCTTGAGTAGACCTTTCGTGGTCTGCACCTCAGCAAGGAACTTCTGGTTGAGAGTCTCACACATTGCCTTCCAGCTAACACGCTCAGCCACCACAAAGGGAACGCGATCCTGGAGCAGAATAAAAGACACAACATCACACTATAAACTATAGCAGACAACAGAACCCCATATCCTATCTTCCCCCAAAGCTGATCTGGTACTAAAAAATAACCCTCACTAAGAACAGAAACTCTAAATCTTACCTTGGTTTCTCACTGCCTTACCAATATGTGTTAGCCGGTTTATACCAATGGAGCTATGATTAGGTTTCCATGTTACAGTTCAGCCTGAAATATGAAAAGCCATTGGGCCACATGGAGAAAGTCTATGTCAAGAGTTTCCTTTCCAGAAACTGGAATAATGGTGGAGTGAGAAGCCACTGTACATGGCCCCAGGTTTCTCAGATTTTGCAAACGGCAGGGATTAATTTTAGTTTATATCCCACTTTCCTTTGAGAAGTTTTGGCAGTGTCCATGATTTTCCCCAATCTCTGCTATCCTTTGACTCTCACATAAACCCTAAGACATTGGTCAGGCTAAGACACAATTGGCCTAAACTCATCCAGTGATTTTCATAGCTGAGTATGAATGTCACCCTGAATGTTTTGAATCCTGATCATGGGCTCTAAATCCCACTGCCCCACCAGATCCTATTCTACTGGCATTATGAACGGAGAGGCTCTAGGCTGGAGATGGGGAACCTGCGGCCAGATAGAGGTTGCTGAACAGCTCCTAACATCCTTTTTACGAGCTGGACTGGGCTTCTGGAGACTCACAGGTTCCCAATCCCTTCCCTAAGGAAAGTGAAAAAACCTACCCTTTTAATAACTAAATGTCTACATTTAATTCTGCCCCTAATAATTAGCAGAGCTTTGCAATTCAGCCTGCATCTGCCACTTACAGGAGCAGCAAAAGCATTGTCCCATAAGATGGTAGCTTTGGCATTGTTGTCTTGATTTCCATGGACAATCACCACAACGGGCAGCGACAGAACCTAGAACAGAAGGAGTGAAAAAAAGTTGTAGTTAACGGATGATGATTTTCTTTACAGCTGAGCCTTTACATCTCTCTTTGACTGATCACCTTAGAACCCAAAGTGGATCTATACCTCAAGATCTATCCTTAGCTCCCAGCAGGAGTGTTTCTGTGCAGGACTCAAGTCAGCCTAAACTAGTTTTAGGGCAACTATGGGGCAAGAAGTGATGGCATGAAAGAGAGGGCCAGCTACCTGAAGCCTTCCCTTACTGTACCATATTGAACAAAAGGGTTTAGGATAGGATCCGCCTAATTGTCAATTTTTCCCAACTTTCTCTACTTATCTCAGCTTCCATAAGCTCTCGATTCTTTCAGAAAAGCAGGGTATTCAAATCCGACCTATGGATCTTGCAGTGAAGGTCAATTCAATACAAGGCGGGGAAGGTGATGCAATATGGAGACATACCATACTAAATCCTGTGAAGCCCATTTTTTTTTGTTGTTGTTGTTAAAAAAAGGCCCTCAGATCCTTACTCCAGCCCCTCTAATTCTGCTGTGAAATTTGATTTTATCTGTTTGGAACTCATACAAATTTCTGGCCCACTTGGGCTGACAGCCAGCTGTCCATCTGTTGTTGGAACCTGGTCTTAATGCATGATTAATTATACCATTACTGAAAACACTGGTGTTGTAAAGTTCTACTGAAAGAACCCTGGGGCAAGGGGAGGAAATTCCCATGGGAAAAAAGGATCATATATCCAATCAATTAATCGTGGTACTGCCCCGTGGAATCTTCTTGTTGCCAGACTAGAATTCTCCACCCCATTTAGGTCTCCGGGGCCAAACGGCTCAAGAAGGGAGGGAGAAGCACAGAGAACGGCACTAGTGGTATTTGGTTCTTTTCACAGGCTTTCCCTAACCAATTTGTATCCCTCTGTCAAGGAAACAATAAACCAATATCAGCAGCACATGACAACTCCAGTCCTAATAATAATAATAATACAGCTCCCACATGGTATAGGTACCTGTAAGTGGAATTTGGTTTTGTTGGGCCCCAGGCAAATGTTGGCACTGAAGAGGACAGCACATTTCTCTTCCGTTACAGATTCTGTGCTCTTGCGGTCACAACGCTTGATCTTTTTGAGAAGCTGAAAGACAAGAAAGAGCAAATCTCCGTTGGCTTAACTTCTGCATGGGAAAATCGGTTCCAAATCTTAGCTCCCCGCTTATCGTTTGTTGACCCCATGGCCTTCTTGAACTACAAAGCTCATCAAGCTTGCTTCTAAGCAAAGCGTGTCTTGTAGGACTCTGCAGCCATTTGGATCTGAAGGGGAAAAAGCAATTCCCAGCCACAGGACACTTCTATTACATCTCTCAGTGACTCCTTAAAGAAGCTGAATCTTTCCCTGGGCTTGCACAGCTGCTGCACCATCTTAGGAAAAGATATGTTTGGTCTAAGGAGGTGCCAACATGTGCCACATGAACAACCCTTGCACACGCCAAATCACCCTTTCCTTTTTGAATCTGGACCGCTGTGCAGCCCAAATGGACGCTCATTCAAGGAATTTTATAGAGGACTCAGATGTCACATTTGTAACCTTCCATTAAGCTGGGCAAGACAGAAAAGCTGCAGGTGCCTTTTGACTGGTAGCGGTAACAGCTGTTTGTCCACATATGAAGTACAATGAGATGAGGATAAGAAAGCAACAGTCTCGAAGGCGGGGGAAAATAATTTTTTAAAATGCTCCCTTACATTTACACAAAAGGAGGAAGAAACCTGGATTAGAAATGTTCTCTCTGCTGTACCCAGTTTTCTCTTACTGTTATCTACATGGGAGAGTATCCTCTCAGCAGTCTGAAATGGTACACTCCTTCCTACCACTTCCGGCATCTTATCATGCTGCAGGTGTGAATCAGGCCCAAGCTACATCATCCCAAATGATGGTTTGAAGACCCCCAATACCGCTACATTTCTTAAATTAATGGTGCAATCTGGCTGTGCTCTGAATGCAAGTTGCTTCTGAGATTTCTCGTAAACCAATTTGAGCTTACGAGCATACACATAATGAAAGAGATGGCCAACCCCCCTCTCCCAATTTTGCTATCTCTGCAAATCTTTCCAATAGCGCCATCCCGATTTACAGCCCATTCCACCACTTAAGCTGCTTGACTTCTCTCTTACTCACTTTTTCCCTTTCTGCTTACCAAATTTTTGAAGTGAGCGCTACAAGAATTGCTGGAGGCGTTTATATCCAGTGATGCCGTGTTGTTTACGATCTCTCCGGTGCTTTCACTGAAGCCAAGAGGAAAACAGAAAGGGCTCCTTCATTACCGGGAAGTGATTAGTCATTATGACAAACTCAACTTTTGGAGGGAGAGTTCCCACCCAAAACCTTGTTTAAATGCTGTGGTGAAAACAGTTCTCCTATGGATAGAAACTAACGCTATTTTTGTCTTTTTAAAGTATTTCATTTTGAAACTTTAGTTTTGAAGAGAGGAAACAGGCCACCACATTATGCTGTCAAGAAATAGCAGAATGACTGCTTTTTGTATTGGAGACTAATAGGCAGGTATGCAGAATTAAAACTACTAATTTTCCCTTTTGCACACTCAGTGTTTGCAGATACCTATATATTTATCTGTTACCATATTATTAAAAATAATTGCAAAACTTTTCTGGGCAGGCTATTATGAGAGGTTTTCTCTCTCCCATCCACAGATATTGTTTGGGTTGAGGATTATTCATTTAATTATTTCACCCTCCACCTTCTGTAAGTTACTAGAAGTATTCATTTGTTGCATGAGAGAAATCTTTCCTCATTTTAGCAGCTCTACCTTTGCTTTAAGGCAGCAAGAAAAGAGCGAGAGAAACAGTTCACAAACAGAACCCTGAAAGTGCAGTTAAAAGCAGTTCATGTGAACAGATCCCAGCACTTATCCATTAGTTTATTGCAAATATTTTAATGCTGCCTGCTCGGTCAAAACTTCATGTGATTAAAAATAAAACGTCAGATTTCATTTGGTTTGTGTTGGAGCCTAGCATGGGCTTCAAGGTTATTTTTAATTAAGTTTACTGGATGTTGGCGAGAATCTGGCATACTAACTAAATGGAGAATTAAAACACACAAACCTTTTAGCCTCATATGCAGAGTGAGTTTGCCAAGAGGAAAAACAAAGAAAATGGGATCAACAATTAAACTAAGTGGCTATAACCTTTACACGTTATTTGCCTGAGCACAGCTGTTGTCTGTGCCAACCTTTTAACTTGGCATGCCCAAGTGCCAGCTGGCAAAATTAATGCTATCTCCTGGTTGCCCTCCCCACACCCTGTTTCCCAGAAACTTCTAAACCACTTCAACTTATCTCTGCTTTCTATGCAAAATAGCCTTTTGGGATTCACAGCCACATACTCCTCCAAATAAATACTCTTTCTACTGTACTGCGTACAGTTTATATAGTACAATTTTACTCACTAATAGATAGACTATGTGACTTGTGATTTAAGCCAGACTCCGGAGTCATGTGTCATAGATTGGCAAGGTTTTTTGTTTTTTTTTAACTCCCATTTGTTTCTCAGTAGCAAAAATTAAGTGAATTTTCTTATCTTAACTGCTGACTTGGTAAGAACTAGGAGTAGTGGAAATTTAGTTCAGGTTTGGCACTGAAACCAAACTCTTAGGTTTAGGATAAGCTGAGTATAAACTCAGTTTGGGACTGACGCCTGGTTCTTTCACTCTAAAATATGGCACATCAAGCTGCGAAGGGATGTATGATTTTGGCTCAGCAAGTTGCATGAACTTGGACAATTACGGTTTGTTGATTAATCAGTAAGCTCTGGCTTTGCAAGCCACAGATTATTCTAATGTGTGATCCTAGTCTAACTATATGTTTATGCCCCTGCTTCTGATCCTCAGATCTTGGGGGTGTTAATAATCCAAATAAGGTAGTTCCAGCTAGCCTAAGGGAATAATTGGTGATAAAACAATGGAAGAAGGAGATCTTGATGCGCAAACGTAAGACAAATTCATGCAAAGGGCATTCAGAGAGACTTCAGGACTAGCTTTTCACCTATTCAGCTGCTGGCTGACACTGGAGAAGAAAGGGGCTCTTCTGCTTCAGCAACACAATCCCCTTTCCAGGATCATCCTAGTGCCTTTGCTCCTGTTGCTCATGAAAACTGTGCGATCTCATCTGCACAACTCTTATGCTACAGCATCAGACCAGAAGGCAAACAGCATGAGAAAGAGGAATTTTTTTCCAACCTAGGTTTGAAACTCAGAAGTCAGCTGCAGATACGACAACAATTCTAGACATTGTAGGCAGGAGAGCCGTGGTAGCAGAAAAAACCAGGAAGAGTCTGGTAGCACCTTTTCTAACTAACACATTTTATTAAAAGAAGTCTTCCTGAGCTATAGCTGATGAGATGCATCTGATGAAGTGAGCTGCAGTTCAGGAAACTTCTGCCTTTTAAGAAAACTCATCAGACTCCTCCTGATTTTTCTCAGCCAATTCTGAAACTCAATGGTTCTGCTTGAGGTATATTTGTTGGATCCAACCCAGCCCTGCATATTCATTTATGCCTGCAATGCAAGGATGGGAAGGACATCAAAAACACTTGCAACTACTAAATTCTCCTTGGAGAAATGATCTTATAATGAGTGACTACAAGGAGAAATCTCACTGTGGTGAGATGGGCAGCTATATAAATTGGTTTAATAAATAATAAACAAATACTACAAGAGACTTATTTTCTGTGGAAGAACTATGAGATCCATTTGATAATCAAGTTCAACATTATTTAATTCTACGCCAATTTTTATTCACACTACACTCTGGTTAGTGAATCTACGTTCTCATGTAAAAAGCAAATGAAGAACAAAGTCAGTCCTACAAGTCTGAAGTCTGCCCACCCATGTTTTGCTAGAGGATGCACAAAATTGACCTTTTGAAAGTTAAAAATGTTAAAAAAGAGAAAAGTAAAATGTTCTCATTCTACCTAGATCTGTGTTTAAGAATCGATGCCTTGGTTCCCTTTCCACCCCAAATACCATCAAGTGGCATTCTTTGAAAAAAGAAACTCGGAAACAAAGCCACCAGGAGGCATGCACTGGGGCTGCGATGGTTCCCCTCACCTGAAGACAGAGGCAGAACGGTTGGCAGTCAATTCCCGGGCCTGTTTCTCGGTCACAATATCAGCCGTGACCAGAAATGAGGTTGGTGGATGCTTGAGTAAATGAGGTCCCAGCAGGAAGCGCACACTGGCTTGAAATTTGGTCTGGGTCTTTAGAACTTGCGGGGGCTGTTTTTCCACCAAAAAGGAGCTGGAGGGGAAACACAAGTCAGGATCAAGAATGGGAAGAGCCAATTCTGAGAACAGCAGCAACAGGCTTTAATATTCACCCTATTCTCTTCCCCGTCCACATTCATAAAGACAGCAGGCAGGAGAGAAAACTGATCTAGAATGGGAAAAGCAACTGGAGGCCCTATGAGAGGGGAAGCACTGTGTGATAGTGTGCATTCAGCCATGTTTCTTGCTGGCTGTTCACGTGTACATGCAGAAACCCAAACAAATACTTTGTGCTGGTTTTGCTGGTAAGAGAGCTTAATTTCTCATATGAAAAGGTCCCATAGAAGGAGGAAGGGCTATTTGCTGAAAATAAGGAAGTTGACCTTGACAGAAATAGGCAAGATATGTTACCAAAGCGACAAGGGGAAAAACATGGCTTAAGTTCAAAACAAGAAGAACGGCATGTGCAAAAGACACCTTCCTAATTCACGTATTAAGTTGGGGGGGGTGGAAATAAAGCACATGCAGAGAATTCTTGCAAATATGCAAGAGAATTCTTGGAAGCCTGGTATTCAGACAAGGCAGCAATTAACAGACACATAGAGATTAACAGCA